GCTTTTTTCTTTTTTCTTATGTGGTGCTGAGGAATCGAACCCAGGGCCTCAGGCATGCAAGACAAGCGCTCTACCACTGAGCCACCTTCCCAGCCCCGAGTTCATTTCTTATCAAGCATTGAGATCAGCATTATTGTATCAACATTCTTAAGTCCAAATACTTGAGAGAGTGAAGGTAAAAGTAATATTTATCTGTATTATATAAACTTAGATCCAAGTAAGAACAACAGTTTGTTTCCACTCATGTAAAGAAAAATTTTGAGCAAAGTGTACTTTCTCATTTTCAAATGACCTTTATAGTGTAAGCACTTTCCTTCTTCTCTCCCTTCTTTCCTCCCTCCCTCCTTTCCTTCTTTGTGTGTGTGTGTGTGTGTGTGTGTGTGTGTGTGTGTGCGCGCCAATACTCAGGCTTGTCTTTTAGCTTTTCTAACCTTTGCCTTTTCTAAGCAGCCAGATCTCCAATCATCACATGAATAAGACATTTTCTTGAAGGCAAGACAGAAAAGGCAATTTTGGAACCAATCCAACAATTTCTTACTCATCCCTTCTTGTTGCATTTATTATTTCCTCACAGCACTAAACTTGTTAGCTTGGTGTTTCACACCTTATGAAATAATTCCTCCTCCTTCTCCTCCTCCACCTCTTCTTCCTCCTCCTCCTCCTTCCTTCTTTTCTTTGTCAGTTGTGGAGCTTGAACTCAGGGCCTAGGTACTGTCCCCGAGCTTCTTTGTGCTCAAGGCTAGCACGCTACCATTTGAGCCACAGTGCAATTTCCAGATTTTGAGTGGTTTATTGGAGGTAAAAGTCTCATGGGGACTTTCCTGCCCAGGCTGGCTTGGGACTATAATCCTCAGATCTCAGCCTTCTGAGTAGCTAACATTACAGATGTGTCACTGGTGCCCAACAATAAAGTTCTTCTTACTCAAACAACTTGTTTAAAATTCAATTGTATCATAGTTTACTTTTTAACATGCTTAAAAAATTATGTCTTCAGTGCTTGGAGTAGAACCCAGGACCATGTGCATGCTGGGTGAGCACTCTTCCCCTGACCTGCTTTTCCTAGTTCCCCTCCCTTTCATTCCCTTACAAGGGCTTAAATTCAGGGCCTGGGTACTTTCCTTTAGCATTTTCACTCAGGATGGTACTGTACCAATTGAGCCACAGTTCCTTTTTTTTTTTTTTCCCAGTTCTTGGTCGTTAATTGAAGATAAGACTCTTAAAGACTTTCTTACCCAAGTTGACTTCAAACTGCTATCCTTAGATCCAAGATTCTGTGTAGGTAGGATTATAGGCCTCAGCCATAGGCACCCAGTCCTGGTCTCACTTTGAAATCCTCCTATGTCTTCCTCCTGGGTGTTAGGATTACAGGTCTGCTTCAAGTGACCACCTACTTATAAGTGTTTGATGTCAGTGAAGTGGTAAAGAGAATCCAGATCCCTCTTGTTAGATTAAGTCCTGCACAGCAAAAAAGCCAACAGAACAGATAACCCAGGATGTAAGAAAACACTTGCAAATGTTCATTTCACAAGAGATTATGGTGTATTTCAAAATAACTGCCAGAAAGGACTTTGAAGGAACCAACATGATAAGTATTTGAAGTGACAGAGTAGTTTTTAATCTGGATTTCATCATTGCATATCTTATACATGTAACAAAAATCACACTGCATCTTACAAATTTGTACAACTATTTTGTCAGTTAAAAGTAAGAAATCAGATGCTGGAGGAGATGTGGACAGAAGGGAACATTACTGCATTGTTGGTGAGAGTGTAAACTTGTTCAACCACTTTGGAAAGTGGTATGGAGGTTCCTAAAAATACTCCACATAGAGCTCCCCTACGCCCCAGCAATCCAACTTTTGGGCATTTACACAAATAATCACACCCAAGACCATACTAAAGTTACAAGCACAACTATTTTTTTTCTTTTTAATATTTTTATGTTATCTTATTTTCTTTATTGTGAAAATACTGTACAGAGGGGTTACAATTACAAGGTGAAGATAATGAGTACATTTCTTATCAAGCATTGTAGCCTCCTCCTTGGTTTCCCCTTCTCATCCCCCCATCTTCCCCCCCACCCAATCCTATCTGCCCACCCCCCATACCAAAGTTGTAAAGTTCATTTTCGAAATAACGACTTGTACTTCTCATTGCTGCAGTGGGTCCACCTGTATCCCTTCCCCTCCACAAATTATACAGACATCAAATACAGTAAAAGCAGGGGTTATACTGTGGGAAGCACAACTATGTTTATTGCAGCATTATTTATATGGAACCAACCCAGATGCCCCTCAGTAGGTGAATGGATCAAGAAAACGTGGTATATATACACAATGGAATTCTATGGTTCCATCAGAAAGAATGACATTACCCCATTTGTTAGAAAATGGAAAGACTTGGAAAAAGTTATATTAAGTGAAGTAAGCCAAGCCCAAAGAAACATAGGTCCCATGGTTTCCCTTATTTGTAATAACTAGTATATGTCTGAGTCAAACAGAAAAGGTCAGATAAGTTGATGTTAGGGAAATGAACCCCAAGTAAGTATTCAAAAGTTTTTTTTCATGCAATTGTTTCTAACCTATTTATAAGATGATTTCTTTGTTGCTTTGTATGTCTCTCCCCCACGGTTTAGACCCTGCTTTCACTGTATTTAATGTTGGTATAATTTGTGGAGGGGAAGGGAAAAAACAAATCATTTAAGTAGGGATACAGGTGGACCCATTGCACCAATGAGATGTACAAGTCGTTAAGTCAAAAAAAGAACTTTACAACTTTAGCCATGGGGGAAGGAGTGGGGAGGGTGGGGAGGTGGCAGTTGGAGGCGGGTGGGAGATGGGAAGGGAATGAGAAGGGGAAATAAAGGAGGAGGCAACAATGCTTGATAAGAAATGTACTCATTATCTTGCCCTTGTAATTGTAACTCCTCTGTACGGTATTTTCACCAAAAAAAAAAAAAAAGCCCTAGAAAAAAGTAAGAAATGACCAAACAACTTGAAACATTGAGGCCTTACAAGAAACCCCTGGGGAACTCAGGTCAGCACTGAGTGTGCAGAGGGCTCCAAGGAGCCTGAGCACAACACTCTGCTCACTTGGTCTTTGTTAGAGACAGAACTCTGGACACCAAGATTGCTGGCCTAAGGCAACAAAAGAGAAAAGCCTCTGCTCCTATCACAAACAGCCTTCCATCCTCACATCCCTCTAAGCCCCACAGTCTCAGGCAATGTCTCCAGAACAGATAGTGACTAAAGAGAGTAGTAGGGCAGTAAACTCAGACACACAGAATCTAGATGCTTCTGCAAAGATGTTTATTGCATAGGTCACAGAGGGCAGGAGGTCAGCTGCGAAGTAAGAGGTTGGGGACTTGTTCTAGGAGGAGAGAATCAGATGTGGTCGAGGAGTTGGATCTTCAGTCTGACCATATTGCTGGAGGTGAGCCATGGCAGGAAATGCTGGTACAGGAGCTAAAACGTCTTATCCAGATGAACTGGAACCATCGGAAATGGGACAGTGTCCTGTGGAGATTTTGGGTTACAAGCAACTGTGTAGTACTTTGTTGCTTGTGTCTGATGATAGTTGCAGTTTGGATAAACTGCTCGAGGTCCTATGAGGTCACAGACTGTTATATCCACCTGGTGTGGACTGTCATGACAGTTATTTTGTGTAGAGCTACTACATTGAATGTTTGGGGAGCCACAAACATTAACAACGTTAACATAAGTTGTATGAAGAAAAGTATTTTTGTTTTTACAAAACCTAGTTAGACTGTTAATCACTTGCATGGAAGGATTACATTGGGGGTGGGACATATTTACATGCTGGGTGTCAAACCACATAGTAGGGGTGAAACCAGGTGGCCGCAGCTCAGAAGAGGGCAGCATTCCCATGAGCCCCACCACCAACAGCAGGAGACCAGCTCCAGAAATGAGCAGCCTTGGACCCATGTTTCCTGTGAGAAAGAAGAGAAGTAGGTGCCTCTGCATCTCGGTTCAGGTGTGACAGGCGTTTTTATTTCAGCTTCCATGCTCTCTGCTGTCCTGTGAGGTCCTATATGAATTCTCTTTCCAGTCCCCCCAAAGTGCAATGACACCAGGCACTCACTGTAGCTCAGCCCTTCCTCAAGTGCTGCCCCACTGCTGCCCCCCCCCCCCCGGCCAAGCTCTAAGACTCCATGTCCTACCTGTTGCTGTGTGCTAGTTCCTGTGAGAATGCAGCAGCTGGTTGTCTGGGTGATCAGGGCCCCTAGTTCCTCCAACTTGGTTCCGTAGATATAGAGGCCCTGTGGGTGGAGTAGGCAGGGCCAAGTGGGTTCTGGCTGTGGAACATGCAAAAACTACAGGTCCGCACATAGAGCTCTTGTGCAAGCAGCCTACTTCTTTTTTCACTTGGCTCCCAACCAGGATAGTGCTGCCTGCTTCTCTGCTCTGAAGAAGTGACTCTCAAGTGATTGTGTGCAGTGGGGAGGATGAGGGGTGGGCTTGGGCTCTGTGGATGAGGACCCTCCCTACACTGCCTGCTGCATCACTATAGCTCTCCTAACTGCTTCCTCAGGCCACTGGAAGACCAAGTCCATAAAGGCAGACCTGGTGTCAGAACAAGCAGAGAGCCCATTTTGCAGCAGTTTCCACTCCTGTGTCATCTGAAATCCTGTGCTGTTGGTGGGTGCACCGAGTCTCCATCACAGCAGTGAAGAGGAGACCAGTGGTCTCCATGTTTGTCTTCTTCCCTCCTGACTTTATTCTGTCTCCTCACTCAGTGATATCACTTGCCAGATGTTTATAATCATCACACATGCTACAGTGACCTGAAAAATTACTCAGTCCTTATCTGTCTGTCTTGTACTGATACGTATTTACACCTGAGCTCAGAGAGAACCCCAAAGGATTGTTCTGAGTTTTCCTAGTGTATGTTTGCTGTGTGCAATTCCAGCTGCCTTCACTGGCTTCCAGGAGTAGTTAAAATGGTCTGCTTTTTCCCTGAGGACCCTCATGAGAGACCTCCTTAAGTATAAAGCCTGAGAAAGTATTGATGGCACATTCAGTCCATGACAAATATCGAGGGAGTTCAAGCAGTCTATCACTGTGCACCTAGGATGATCGCCTAAAAGTTAAGGAGATTTTGCCCTTTTGCTTTCTTTTAGGCTAGAGGTAGCTAAGAGGTGGCCGGGGAAAGCTTTCTGCCCTAGAGCTGTCTGAGGAGGAATGGAAGTATTAAAACAATGCTGTGGCTAAACTTTTGTCTCCAGGCTAGAACAATCAGTCAGTGCAGGTGACCAGAACAGTTCTTACTCCTGGAAAGCCTCCTCACTCTTTGGTGCTAATCTTTTTGCATGGCCAAATGCAAGGATAACTCTGCAGGGTAGGTCATGACATAAACATTACGTGTAGATACTTCAAATACTTTGTACTCACAGACATGCTATACAATTATTTTATTCCTATAAGCATAGTTGCAAGCCCAGTTTACACACCCAGTCAAAGCCGAGCCCCCATGCACCACACAGAGGTAATTCTGCCAGAGATTTTATGGATGAAGGAGTGTCAAGAGAGGGTCTGTCAAGATTCTACAATTAGTGAGTCACAGACCTGAGTGACATCTCATTGCTTCTTGTCTTCACAATTCTCTTGTGAGCTCCAGCAGTAGGAGCACCTTGACTTTTGCCACTGTAATCCCAGAGCCTCACTCTGAGCTTAGGTTATCATAGGTGCTCAAGCAGGGCTGCAGTGACCCTGCTTAGGAGACTCAGTGTGTACTCTTTGACCCTGTTGAGTTACTGGGAATCAGATGATGTTGCCTTTTGCCTTTTTATTCTTGGCTTTATGCCTTTACCAACACCCCTCTCTTTCTTTCTCTTTTGATGTTTTAAGGATGGACCCAGTGCCTTGGACATGCTAGGCACATACTCTAATACTAAACTACCTCTCAGTCCTTGTCTCAGTAATGGATCTCAGGGTGACTTTGAAGTTGATGTTCTTCTGCCTCTTCCTTCTCAGCTCTAGGATTATAGGTGTGCACTAACACTCCCACTTTCTTTTTCTGTTATAGTTTTCATTCCCTTTCATTTCTTCCTTCCATTTATTTTTCCTATACCACACAATATACCTTCTAATGTATATTTTGTGATTTTTTTCTTCCTGAATAATATTAAGAGGAACAGAGATGGGGATAATGTTCAAAGCTGGACTGCCTACTTGGAATAGATAACACCCTTTATTCAGTCTGTAGTGCATTTGTGAATGCACTCAGGTATACACGCACACGAGTGAACACACACACACACAGACACACACACACAGACCCCAAATGAGGCTTGGCCTCTTGGCCTAAGACAGGGAAAGGTACAGTTAGATCTGTGTCATGATAAGCTGAGTCTCAACCCAGAGGAAACCCATGGATTTCCACAGGGCTTTATCACCCTCTGCTGCAACCTTGAGCCTTAGAATTTCTTGCTGTGCAAATTCTGCAGCTTAAAGTTTGTCACATTCCCCGTGAGCTTTTCCCTCTCCTCCAACTGCACTGGATTTACTTTCTCTCTATTTCAATATTGACCTATAATACCTCTACTCCAAGCCAACTAATGTGATCAGAAAAAGCAGAGGTCTTTCTGTAAAATCCACCAAACAATGATCCACACAGAATGGATTTGTTCACATTTGAGCTATTTTCTACACAACTGTCATTTACCTTCCCAAATGCTTACATTTCATTATGGAACAGGAAATTTTATCTTTATTTGTAAGCATGCATTTGTGGGCTGAGCATTGCATTCGTGAACTGGGTTAGTCACACTGAATATTGAGACATGTGTCATCCAGTCTTGGCCCCCAAGAAACTTCTGGTGATTGGAAACCTCAGTATGGAACAGAAGCAATCATACTTGTAAGTGCCTGGTGTTTTTTGTGCATAGACATGCAGGAGTTACTTCAGTTGATGGGTGAAGAAGGGTCCAGAGGGAAACTCCATCTGAACATGACGGTATAGGATATGCAAGAGGCAGGAGTTTGCTGGGCCATTAGGTAAGGAACAAACATTTCTAATATATATATATATAT